AAATCAATTACGAACACTTGTTAAGACAGCACAACTTCCTTCTATAACTCCACTTGATTCAACATTACCTAGTCGATATTTTTCAAATACATCAATTGAAATCATTTTTAATGAACTTATGATTGAAGAATGGAATTTCTCTCCTTCATATTCAATTTATTATCAAAAATGTAAGCCTTCATTTTGTTCATATACGCATGAGAAAAAACCTAGTATTGTTTATACAATTATTATTATTATCAGTCTTATTGGTGGAATTAATGTTCTTCTTCGATTATTTTCTCCATTGATTATTAAGATTATCTTTAAATTTATTCATAGATTAAAACGCAAGAATTCTTTACAAATCTCGACTATACAACAAGAAAATGTTGAAATTCGTAGTGGTATAATTAATCGATTAATAGATAAATTTTCAACGATAAATTTATTTGATAGTGAATCAAATAATATGGAAACAATTCGTCTTGAACGAATATCAACAAAACTTTATTTATTAGTTTTTTCAATTTGTATATATAGTATAACAATATATACAATATTTTCGGATAAAACTATATATCAATCTTTTTCGAATCCATCTCAAAATGATTATAACAATTTATTAATATCTTATTGGAAATCACTTGATTGTCCTTGTAGTAAAATATCAATTACATATAAAGATTTTGTAGAAATCGATGCAACATTTCATCAAATATGCTCAAGTGATTTTGTTAATATGAAATGGATTAATTATTTATTTAATGAAGGATATTGGGACGAGTATGAACGACGTGATATTCGTGTACGTGGTAGTGCATATTTTTTATTTCTTTCAAATTTATGTCAAATTTCTCAAATAACAATTAATAATGCAATTGAACAATTTCATAATGAAATATTTATCAATGCTAAATTAATATCAGAAACTGAATTTAATATTCAAATTGAAAATATTATTTCGCAATTTCAAAAATTAACTTTAACAAAATTTTCTCGAAGTTTAAAACTTCTACGTGATATAATGAATGGAAATGCTTTTGTATCTTCATATTTTTTGAATTGGTATTGGTGGAGAGACATAAATAGTATAACTTCTCCAATAATTCCAATTAGTCCAATAATAATGGAAAATGGATG